ATGGGTTGTCTACGCTAATCTTAAAAATTGCCTCATGCATAGGGCAAGTAACCCAGAGAGAAAATGAATAACAGTAGCAATGAGAAATATAAAGTGAGGAGTTCTCAATATTTTAAGGACTCCGCACTATATGTTTTCTTTCACAACTTCAGCTTTTCACAACTATCAAAAAACAATGTTTACTCATTGCAAACATATTAATTTACTTTTTTGATATAAAGTAATTTCACAAATAAATATATCTGCCTAATCATAGCAAATCCCACTGCCAACAAATTTTGTGAAAGCATTTCAAATGATTCCATCCCAGCAAGGCTAATGATGAAGTACATTCTCTCCCTACAACAGCAATAAAATACCAAACAATGAAAATCAGGTTGTAGAAAGCAAAAAATCAATTAAAACACACACATAAAAAGTATTTGCAAAAAGTGAATGTTTTGCCTACCCAAATAAAAGCTGAACACTGTCACCTTGTTTTAAATAATTATACAAATTCAGATTTTTCTACACGGTATCCACCTTAATTTGCAAGTAGAGGAAAGAATATAATAGTTGCCCATTTTTAATACGCTGTTTCATGTCTTTGAACTTAAAAGACAGACAGGAAGTGAAAAAGAATCACCATGCTAACAAGAGTTCAGTGCAGATTAAAAAAAAATTCATTGCTATCCGCTACAAGTTTGAATATCATTGTCATTAGCAAATAAATGGCAGGGTTTTTTTTTAAAGCATAGCGATAAAGCTAAAACAAACAGTACAAAGATACTAAAACCATTAGAAACTCAAAGCCAGCTATCAGAGACAATATAAAGGTAACATGAAAGAGTTTTCAAGGCTTTTCTAAAGCCTCTTAAAATGCTATTATCTGGAACCCAATTCTTGGCCTACCACTGAAAAGGTATCTTCCTCAAATTCACCTATCAGAGGAATGTTGGAAAAGTGAATTTTGGCACGTTTTAACTTTTTAAAAAGTTATTTGAAAGTCACTTAAGGTTTTATTATTTTAAAACCAGCTCTGAACACTTAGGCCTAGTATCAATTTGGAAACCTATGGAGCTAAGTAGTAAAGGTATCACTGATAAATTGAAATTTTCCAGCAGCTTCCCTACATTGGCTGGTTTAATTTTCAGTTTTGTTAATTGTTCCTCCTATAAATGCCTGAATCAGAATAGACCTGGAAGTCCAACCCCTGCTCAAGCAGGAGTCCCTATACCATATCAGACAAGTGACAATCCAATCTTTTCTTAAAAACATCCAGTGATGAAACCCCTACAATTTCTGTAAGCAAGCTGTTCCACTGGTTAAGTGTCCTCACTGTTAGGAAATTTCTCCTTAATTCCAGATTGCTTCTCTCTTTGATTAGTTTCTATCCATTGTTTCTTGTCCTGCCTTCTGGTGATTTGGAAAATAAGTTGACACACACACCCCTTCGTTGTGGCAGCACCTCAAGTATTGGAATACTGCTATCATGTCACCCTTAGTCCTTTTCTCTAGGCTGGCCATACCCAAATCCTGAAACCGTTCTTTGTGTTTTTGTCTCTAAGCCTTTCATCATCTTAGTTGCTCTTCTTTGCACTTTTTCCAAAGTCTCAACATCTTTTTTGTAATGTGGTGACCAAAACTGGGTGCAGTATTCCAGGTGTGGCCTTACTAAGACTTTATGAAGCAGTACTAATACTTCACGTAATTTTGTTTCTATACATCTGTTTATACAACCAAAGATTATATTAGCTTTTTTGGCTGCCGTCAGTTGGCTCATGTTTAAGTGATCGTCCACTAGGACTCCAAGATCCTTCTCAGTTACTGTTTTTGTACCAGATTTTGCCTATTCTGTACTTGTGCCTTTGGTTTTTCCTGCCTAGGTGTAAAATGTTGTGTTTTTTTCCATATTAAATTTCATGTTGTTGTACAGCACCCATTGTTCAAATCTGTCAAGCTCTTTTTGGATCCTGAGCTTGTCTTCTGGTGTGTTGGCTATTCCTACCAGCTGCAAATTTAATGAGTTCCCCTTCTATCCCCTCATCAAAGTAATTTATGAACATATTGAAATTTTAATGAGTTCCCCTTCATTGAAGTAATTTATGAACATATTGAAAAGTACTGACCCTAAGACGGAACCTTGTGGTACCCACTGCTTACTTCCCTCCATGTAGATGTGATACCATCAAATACTACTTGTTGAGTGCAGTTTAACAGCCAGTTACAAATCCATCTGGTGGTGATGCTGTCTATCCCACATTTTTTTAGTTTACCAAGAAAAGTTGTGGTCTACTTTGTCAATTGCCCTGCTGAAGTTTAAATAGACTATGTCCACAGCATTTCGCTGGTTCAACACTTTCATATTGGAGTCATTATAAAAGTCAGGTCTAAATAAACATCATGTTTAGGTTCAAATAGAAGTTTAAAGGTAGAGGAAACCACATTGAACGGGGTGCAGAAAAGTTCGTCCACCACTAAGTTTTTAAAACTTTCAGAAGACTGGAAAACTTTATACTTTTTCCTATCGTCCTGTACCAACAATTCTATTGTATTTTAAACATGAGTATAAATTATGGAACAGAATGAACAACTTTCATGATAACTACAATTGATACAGCTAGTAATCTCTAGCAATCTGGCCAGTAACAAGGAATATACTCCTACTGTAGAATTAATCCTACGTTTCCAAATGTTTCTCCATCATGCAATAATTTTTCAGCTTGGCTCTCTTATATGGAAGGCGAAATTCCTTGATGTATTGTAATATTTCCCCCAAAGTACTGTTTTTATAGTTTACTAATAAGACACTTAAACACTGGAAGTTTTTAAGAAAAGTTTGCATAACAATTTGTCTGAAGTAGTGTGGAATATCCTGCCTAAGCTGAAGGTTGGACTAGAAGACCTCCAAGGTCCCTTTCAGCACTGTTATTCTATTCTAAAAGGAAGACTAAAACATTTTGGTCAGTTTTCTGACTGCTTATGAATGGGAGAATGGCAAATATTGATAAAAGTTATAAGGAAGCTAGCTGTTTGAAAAGACATTGTTTTTTTAATGAGGTATCGAAAACATTTTATTTGGGGAATGTTAAAATGAAAGACAACATTATGAACAATCACAACCCAGGCCTGTTCCCTGTGTTTCTGTGTGTTTTATAATTACAGTATTTACAGATCAAATAAGGCATTGGTTCTCATAAGAACACAAATCAGTATCATTTTTAAAAAAATCACACCATCAACCTTCCTTGAGCTGCATTAACAAACATTAAATCATTATTGATCTCAAACTTCCTATCCTCTCAATGTAACTTGGTAGTCATACAACTTTCTAGACATTTTTTTAAACTTGGTATTCTTTGAAGAAAACTATTGTGTCCTAGCATTCTCCCCTTTAGCCTGATATAAATTTGTAGTCATGAAATATAGAAGGTCCTTAAAAAAAAATATCCATTATGGACAGCATTTTGAATCATTCATGCCTGATTCTGACTGTGCAATTCACTTTTGGAGCAAAACAAAGAAAAATTATTGTATCTTTTCATGTCTTTTTTGTTTTCAGATCACAGTATCACATATTGTGTTTTCATAAATAAAAGTTTTATTTGCAGCTATTTATTGGCTATTGTATAACACACCTTACATTTAATATGCATGGTGGATTTATTCCAATTCCCAACAGTGTGAGATACAACCACATATATATTTAAATCCAGGCACCTGGACAGATGTAAATCACACAAATATTCAACTTGAGGAAAATATCACTTGAAGACCATTTCTTTCAAAAACAGATTTTTTTTTAAAAAAAATATCAGCTTTAAGGTTAGCAGTGAAATGATTTACAGATTTTGAGACTTTTAGAAACATTTTGAGAGCAGGGCATAAAGAACTTTCTTTGAGCCCTGAGAAGACTTGACTTCATAATTCAGGCATCCGATGGCTTCTTGAAAGCTCCAACCAGTCTGGACATTTATTCCAAAATTTCTAAATAACACCTGCAAATTTCAGTAGTTTGCTAATCAAGACTAAGTGGTACAGAGTAACTGCATATGGAAACTATGAAAATAATGCAATTTGACTATAAATATTGTTTAGGGGCCAATAGGTTTCCTTAATATATATATTTTGCTTTGAAACTGAGTATTTTCTACATATTATTAACATATATAAAGTACAGGGATATGTCCAAATGAAATTGAAGAATTTATATTTCTGGGGAATGAAAGAATATCTTGGAGATCTGCAATTTAATTGCACAAGTTTAAACCCTGTATGATGTAGTCAGAGCTTAAATTGGTTGTATCTCTTCGTTGAAACCATGTAGAAGATTCTTTAGAGCTTTACATTCTCAGCTTCCATTAAGCTAATCACAATCATGGCTTGGTTAATTTATAGAAGTCAGTTGTCAAAACATCAGGCACTCAGGAGGAGGAAAGGTACAACTTATGAAGTGACTGGTTTTGTGCACAATCAACTGCTTTGGAACAAAAGTTTCATGTGAAGGCAGCTAATAGCTTCAGAAGTCGAATTGATTTTAGAATAGCCTATAAATTACCCTACATCAATAAGAATCAGCCATCCTTAACTGAATGCAGCAATAAGTCCATGCAGGTTTTTAAAAGCATGGTGGCTGTATGCTGTATTTAATTAATGATTCTTTCTAGATGGCTTTGTGGAATCTTCTTAGAGACTGAATGTAGAAATTCCTTCACATTACTAAAAGTGCCATTGTAAAAGGGTACACTAATGAACATGATCTATCCAAATACATCATACTCTTCTCAGAAATATGATGTTGGAAATAATTTTTAACTATCATTTATATTTGCTTTCATTCCAATAATTTATGCCAAGGTAACTTTGCTTACATCCATGCATCTTACAAAGAGAAAGAAAGTTCAATAGTTATCTGTAGAATTCTAACAAAAATGTCCTATTTCATAGAGACAAAAATGTTCTATACATTGCTTTTAGAATGAAGAAATGCATGGTACTTCCCAGTTTTAAATTTCTCTCTGTGAAAGGCACAGCAGAAAATCTCAGGTCCTCAAATCTGTATTTCCCCCATCTGTTCTGAAAACCCAGTAAACAACTATGGTTCTATCATTTAAAATTACTCCTCAGATAAATCAGATTATTATAAATATGAGAAACATTTATTAAAATTTACATGCTCCTATCTCACTGTCTAAAGCAGTTTAGAAATATTTGGAGGGGGGGCATATAACCAAGTCAAAAAGATGTGTGTTTCTTATATGTATCCCATTTATAGCTCTTATTACTATTTTGTGAATTTCTTTAAATGAGCAATTCAAATTTAAGATAGTTCATCAAAAGGTAGAAAGTGTAACAAAGGCTGAAACAAGATTAAAACAGGCTGACATCCGTGTTCAAAACCATTTCTACGATATACTGAAACTAGCAAAATTTGTTTAAAAATGCAAAATTGAGAGAAAGTACCACAGGAATTCCGAAATATGCAGAGTTTTGCATTTTGGCTGAATGTTATTTTGGCTTAAATAACATTGTCCTTTTTCACCTAAACTATGGGATAATGGTTAGAGATATAGCATTGTCCAATTTATTTATATAAAAATAAATAAATAAAAGGAAACAGTACCTTAATTTTTCTCTAGAAACATTTCTATCAACACAGTTTATTTTAACTCAATTACCTTAAGGCAAAAGGTTTTTAATGCAATTTTGGGAACACCTTCATTTACCGTTGAAATGCTAGTGAGAATACACAAGTTCAACCTTTAACAAATGTTCTCTAAGACATTTTTTTTCAAAACACTGAGTGTAAAAAGGCCAAAAAATTAGTCAAAAAGCCCCCAAAGGCACAGTCCTCTGTCAGAATAACTTGCATAAGTCTCATTAAGTGAATAATTATGTGCTGATATCACTCCCATATTTCCATGAATAGAAGGATACACCCTATGGGTATGACCAAAGCCCATGTTTTTACAGGAATGACAATTTAGAATTGGCCAAGAGAAATTTGTTTTGATGACATGTTCCTGCAAGTTTCATGAATGTAAAATATTAAAAGTTACACACAAGGAACTGCATGACAATATCTTCTTTATTCAAGGCACTGCTTGGTTGCAAATCATGGCTTAGCTGTTTTTCCCCCCAGGCATAGCATGCATCCTGCATAACAATTTAAAATTGGGTTTGGGTCATTTTAAGAGTGCAACAATTTTTTTTCTATCAGTAGGACTTTGGATGCAATTTTGTATTTTTTTGTGTTAGAAAATAATTCTTTCCTCGGACTTTGCAACTGCAATGGTTCATTCCCATGAAAATTAAAAACTTCAAATATTAATAACAATATTAATAATAAAGGCTTTCACAGAAAGCAGCATTCATAGTCTAGAAACAATTATCGATATATTTTCTTGCATTAATCTCCAAGGAAACTAAAAGTCTTCTTGTCTGGTCGGTCTTGACTGAACCACATTTCTTTCCCTTGGAAAGGTTTCTGCCCCAGTATGCAAAATGCTTTGCCAAAATCTGTATTCAAGGTTCATATTACTGAAGGCATGTCATTCTTCTTCCTGTCTCTTTGAAACACAGAAGGAAAGTCCATTTTTTCTGAGCTTTAGCTTTTGTTAGCTGAATCAAAGCTTAATGTCCTGTGACTCTGACATTTTGGCAAGTGTTTTCTTAACTCGCAGGGCTGTGAGCCGGGAAGCAGGGTTATGAGCCCAGCATTCATTCATTAATTTTCTCATTTGTCGTAAGCACTGTGAAAAAGAAATAGGTATACATATATTTACATCTCTATACAAGCATTCTATCTCTCTCTTTTGCACTTACTCTCTTACACACACATATCAAGAATATTTCATAAGCCAATATTACCTGTCTGGCCTTATAGACAGACCTCTTCAATATTATTGAAAAATCAAAGAACTCATCTGAGCAAGGAAACTTATACGAAAAAGTCACATTATTTTGCTCTTTGTTCTGATTATGTAGATGTTACTAGATTCTTTGCGTATATTCTGTTGAGACTTGGCCTCTGAGAGAATCCCACTCTCCTTTAAAATGAGACTAGATCAATGGGATTAATAACATTCAAACAATATGTTTGTTCTTGAAGCATTTGATGATTTTTTCTCTTTTTGCATTGAAGAGCAGTCTGTGAAGATTACACCCAAAACTTTCTAAGACAAGTGTTCTTAGCACAAGTATCCTACTCCTGCTCTTCCAATATGGATTCAATAGCATCGGATCTCTTAAAATGTTGGGGATAGGAAGATATTTCTGGGATTGGTTTGAACTTACAAGAAGAGACCTGCAACTTATATAACATCACTACTCAGTTTTGTGTTATTTTAAACCTGAATTTCTGGTTAGGTTGCTGAAGATTACAAAGTAGTCAGCAAATGTAGTAAGCAAACATCTGTGGAATTTCTGCAATTTACTCTTACTCCCCCCCACACACACACACTTTTTTAAAAAAGCCCATTTTGTGTATGCCCCCACCATCACTCACTCAAGATTGTTTACAACTCTTGCCATTTTTAAGTCTTTTTAAATCTAATTGCAGAATACTTAAGTGAAGACTGCTATTCCCAAATCACAGCTGTCTCCTACAATAATAGCATTACACTGTACCACTTAACAAGATTAATGACCTCTGCATAGCATCGCCATAACTGTCGGCAGATTTGTCTGCAATACATCAATTACTAGTCTACTGATTCCAAAACACAATTTTGCTTCATTATAAATTCTCAGTGGAAAGTGTACAGACTACTTTCTCCCTCCTTCCCCTAAAGGAAAATATCAGCATATCAGCTTCAGAAAAGCAATTTCCCATATTAATTTACAAACAAGGAGCAGAAGACTCACAGCATCCCCAGACTATCTATTGCAGGGCTGCTATGCTGTTTAGCCAGTTTGTAAAAATAATCTATACGGATCCATATTCTACAAAGTCTGTAGAGATTCTCAGTCATCCAGGTCATGGTTGTCCCAACAAAGTTTTTTGAGGACTTTCTTGTTTTCTCTTTGAGGACTTTTTGCTTCTCATCCAAGAAGCTTCTTCAGCTCTGACTGGATGGACGGTGGAGAACGGAAGGATTTATACTCCTTGCAGAAAGCTGGTCATTTGCATCCTTTTATAGGGTCGTTGAAGCACTAGGAGGTTTATCTGTGTCCTCAGGGCCACCTGAGTAGTGAGCTATACAATTAGCTATACAATTTGGGATGAACACCCTTTGAATGGTTATGGGAGTTAAGAATGGATTTCCAGAGGAAAAAAACTGCAGACTACAGGAACCAGGAGCCCTACTCAGGTGATCCTGAGGACACAGATAAGCTTCCAAGTGCTTAGACCAGCTGTCTGCAAAGATTATAAATCCTTCCATTCCCCACTATCCTATCAGAGCTGAAGAAGCTTCTTGGATGAGAAGTGAAACTTCTTCAAAGAAAAAACAAGTAAGTCCAGTTGCCTCCTGAAAAAGCACTTTTGGGACTATATATTCTACAAAGAATTTAGTAGGACTGTATCTGGGAGAATATAAAGGGCATAGAAAAAAACACAAATCTCTCAATTCCCTCTCTCTGGATCATATATCATATTATATGATCCAGTAGTTATCCAGCCCATATTCTTGTCTTCCCACTTATCAGTCCATCTCCACTCCTTTTCATGCAAATTTTGGCCATCCTAGTTAGGAATTCATAGGGTTAAGATTTCCTCACACACTGAAGTTGAAGAATTAGATGGATCTAGTCAACCAGTGTACTTAAAAGGTAGCCATGCCTAGAAATGGGTTGGTTGGATGGTTGCTTTGTTCATGAGAACAAACTATTACAATATTTCAAGCAAATATGTCAAACCACTGAAACAGCCTAGAGTATAAAAGTTACAATTATTTTTTTATTCAGTGCTCTTAAGTTCAACCTGACTCCTACTCTACAATCCATCAATGCTTTAGAAGTGGCTTTTCTTCTTCCTTTTTCTAGAATATTTTTTTTTTTCAATTTCTCACTCTAAGCTACACCTCTGGATTTCCATTATTAGGGTTAGAATCTCTTTTTTGTGCCTATATTTTATTAAATAATTTTCAAAAGCATTCAGTACAGGTAGTCCTCGACTTACAACAGTTCATCTAGTGACCATTCTAAATTTCAACAGCACTGAAAAAAAGTGACTTATGACCTTTTTTCACAGTCATGACCATTGCAGCATCCCCATGGTCACATGATCAAAATTCAGGCACTTGGCAACTGACTCATATTTATAATGGTTGTAATGCCTCAGGGTCACGTGATCCCCTTTTTCAACCTCCCTGTCAAGCGAAGTCAGTGGGGAAGCCTGATTTATTTAATGACTGTGTTGCTAACTTAACAGCTGCACCAATTCACTTAACAACTGTGGCAAGAAAACTTGTAAAATGGGGCAAAATTCACTTAACAAATGTCTCAGCAACCTAAATTTTGGGTTTGATTGTAGTCGTAAGTCGAGGCCTACCTGTAATGGATGGATTGAAAAGAAAATACTTTACCCTAAAGTAAGAATAATGTCTTAACATTTAGGTATTCCTTTTCTTCTTTTTAAGCATGTGATTCAAATTAAAAAAAAAATTCACACAGAATTGGGATAAAACAACCTTCCTATTTTTGAAGATGATCTCCTTACCTCATCACTGCTCCATCTATTGGGAAATGAAGGCCGTAATCTTTTGATGCATACTATTTCCCTCATGTCTTCATATGAAGGATCACTGGAAACAAGGTCATGATAAGGAAGCTGGTATTCCTCAAAAATACCTAGCAAGGAAACCATTTGGCAAATATATAAGTTACGTCCAATTGAACATTCCTGTGGGATTAAGAACTTACAAATTTAACTAAACTCAACACAGGTATGGATAGCAGCAGGAAAAAAAATCAAGCTATATTTTATTCTGATCAATATGATGAAAGAGAATTTATTGTAGAAAGTTGGTGGGCTTCAGAAATCAACAGACACTTAGTGATTCTTCGAAGCAGATTTGTTTATCAATTCACACCTACAGATATAATCTTGACAAACTAAAGCAGACTACACCTACATGAAATATATATTCTGGGAACTCTCGGGGATGGGCTGTCTTCACCTCTCCCTGATCATCCCTCATCAAAGCTGATGAGCCCTGGTGATTAGAATGTAGGACTGCAGGCAAACTCTGCCCATAGTTTGGAGTTTGATCCTAACGGGTGTCACGGTTGACTCAGCCTTCCATCCTTCCGATGTCAGTAAATTTAGCACCCAAATTGTTAGGGGAAATATCTCACATTTGTAAACCACCCAGAGAATGCTATAAAGCACTGTTGGGCAGTATATAAATCTAAGTGCTATTGCTAAAGCTGAAGGCCCTTTTCCAGTAATGGGTTTATAAGTCTCATGACGAAAACTTTAGAAAGAAAATTAGAACCTGGTCTTTTCCAAGATTAAGCTGTCCTCTGATTTTTTAGTAATCGGAAGTACTACCAAAATGTCCAATTTCCTTTTTTAGATGACTTCAGATTATTAGAATAGATCTGCATGCTATGCCCCTTTAAAATGGGTACTACAATATGCCAATTTCACTTTACAAACATTGAAATGTTAAACATTCTTAAGACAAAGAATACAATAAAGTAAAAAAAAATTAGGGTTAGCATTCCAAATCTTCCTGAATCCAGAATTAATTTTCTATCAGGATAATCCTACACACTTCCAGTCCTTCTAAAGTGAAGTTAACACCTGTATTTTCTATATTTTTGCTCTTAAATCTAACTAAATTCCTTGCTAATCATGGTACCTAAGCAAAATCAACCTCATTGTATTTTTGCTTAAACAACAGCTGTGCTCTTGCTTTAGCAGTAATTTTTATATCCACAACAGTTCCCATAAATGAACTCCAAATTCCCATTACAATTATGAAATATTGCATCTTTAAAAGAGTCTATTAAAATAGAGAATAAATCTTTATAGGCTAAGTAAGACCTTCCAGAAAAGGAATAATAAGTCCCAAGAGTACAAAGGGACTTAGTGTAGTGCCACCAATTATTTTTTAAAAAGCTATTATAATTCTTTTTCTCTGTTATTAAAAAAAACACACACACTCAAACATTTTCTGGAGAATAGTTTGGGTTAATGGGTTGCAGCAAAAATAAATTTTATGGCACCTTAAAAATCTAACTACAGGTAGTCCTGGGGTTACAAACCATTTATTTAGCACTCAACGTCACTGAAAAAAGTGACTTATGAGTGGTCCTTGTACTTAGGATCCCCACAGTCATGTAATCAAAATTTGGCCTCTTGGCAGCTGCATGCATTTATGATGATTGCAGCATCTCAGCATCATGTAAATGATCTTTTGTGAACTTCCCAGCCAACTTCCAACAACTAAGTCAATGGAGGAAGATGGACTTGCTTAACGAACACATGATTAACTTAACCACTGAAGTGATTTCACTTTACAACTGGGACAAATAAGGTCGTAAAAGTCAGGTATGACTTGTTTAACAACCAGCTTGCTTAGAAGTGGAAGTTCTCTTCCTAGTTGCGGTCGTTAAGTTGAGGACCACAGGTAATACATTCCAACACGAACTTTGTAGATGCTAAAAGATGATAATATGATGTTAAAGGCAGGCAGCCATGCCTAAAATATTTACCTCCAGAAACACATCTCCTTGCTATTTCCCAAAGGATGAGCCCAAAGCTGTACATGTCAGCCATAATATATGACTGAAAGTGATTTCGATTCAGACTTTCATCCAGCACTTCTGGAGGCATGTAGCGTTTTGTTCCTACTCTGGTGTTTGGTGGGATATCCACTTCATTTGTATCACTGGAAGATGGAGGGGGGGGGAGAGAGATACGGAAATTAAGTATGCAAGCAGTTTCTCTTCGAAAACCAAAACTGCTCTTAAGAGAGAAACACCCACTCCTTTTCAAATTAAAACGATATCTAGGCAAGTCAGAATTAACGGATAGTCTCAATGGAAATTATTCTTACAGAGAAAGCTTGTCAAGTCTTAACCCAATGCTCATTTTGAAACACAATCCCTACCAAATGTTACATTAAGCATTAAACTGCAAAATTCAGAATTCAGCAGAGGATGCTGGAGACTTTTCTGAGAGTTTGCTGGCAATAAATTGGAATTCTGATGCTGAGAATTACAATTATATTTCTCTTACAAGTGTCTTAAGATGCCTCAGATGCTAATGCCTTCATGGAGGGTAACAAAAAAGCTGAAGAATTACTATTCATGATCTTAAAGAAGATATACTGTGGATACATAGTTAATAAAAATGATGTTTAAGAACGGAACCATTTATATTAATGTGTCTCTACATCACCATCAGAATCAAGCTGGAAGGGACCCTGGAGGTCTTCTAGTCTAGCCCCTGCTCAAGCAGGAGACCCTATACCATTTCAAACAAGTGGCTCTTCTTAAAGACTTCCAGTGATGAAGCCTTACAACTTCTGAAGGCAAGCCATTCCACTGGTTAATTGTCCTCACTATTAGGAAGTTTCTCCTTAGTTCCAGGTCCGTTATTTCTTTTCTTGCCTTCTGGTGCTTTGGAGAACAGGTTGACCCTCTCATCTTTGTGGCAGCCCTTCAAATACTGGAATACTGCTATCCTGTCACCCCTAGTCCTTCTTTTCTCTAGACTAGTCAAACCCAGTTCTTGCAAACATTCTTCTTATGTTTTACCATGCAGTCCCTTCATCTAAGTTGCTCTTCTTTGCACTTTTACCAAAGTCTGAATATCTTTTTTGTAACGTCATGACCAAAACTAGGATGCAGTATTCCAGGTGTGGTCTTACCTTAAAGGCACCTGTGTTGTGGCAGTATAATTCAAACTATTGAAAAAGACAGCCTTCCGTTTGAAAACATATTAGTTGAAACTGGTTTATTTGCATCACGCCACAAAATTCACACAGCCTCCCCCTCTACTCCTTCTAGTGGGTAATATGATTATAGGAGAGCTTCCAGTGGCTTTCTGAAATGGTAGCAAACTTAGCTGTTCTGACCCGGCTCCCAAACAGGACTAACCCTCTGTAGTAAAATAAATGTTTCCTTTATTAGGAGCCCAGCAGTCCCAGCAAAAAATCTCTCTCTCTCTGTCTGTCTCAGTGCCTCTCTGTCTCTCAGTCCCCCCCCTCTCTCTCTCACACACACAGAGCAGGCTAACAATCTGTCCACAGGGAGATCAATAGTTGTCTGCCACACCTATTCATCTCTGCCCCCTGCCTTTTATCCCCAGAGCTAGGGTAGGGCTTCATTAGCAGTAGTGGCTCTTCTGTCCCAAGGATCAGCCCATAGATTTCCATTGCTCTTCTCTCCTCTCCCTTCTGCGCATCTGCACGTGAGGCACTGGGCCCAGCTGTTCATCCTCTTCCTCATCAGCCACCTCCAAACCCGGGAGCTGTGGACTCTGCATCTGAGGGCTGATGGACAGCCCAGACTCTGCCTCTGCCTCTCTGCCAGCTCCATTCCCTCTTCCCCCTCAGAGCTCTCAGGTTGCCTTGATGCCGACCCTTACTCCCACGCCTCCTCCTCCTCTGATTCAGCTGTGGGAGGGGCCTGCGGCCAACAGGCCACAACTTTAGCTGCGGTATTCAACTCCTCAAAATTGTTCACTCCTACCACAACAGCTTGGCTGCTAGAGAGGATGAACAGCATTCCCACCTGATGTTCATTTCAAGGATCTGTATAACTTCCCCCCCTTTTTTCCCTTTAAAAATGTTTAACAGACTCAGCTTCCTTAAGATATGCTGTATTTTACCCACCTAATGAATTTAACCGCCAGACCAAGATCTGCTACACAGCAAGTTCCGTTTTTCTTCACCAGAATGTTTTTACTTTTGAGATCCCTGTGAGCAATTGCTGGTTTGCCTTGGGTGCTAAAAATCTCGGTATGCAAGTGACACAATCCACTGATAGAGGAATATGCCAGTTTCAGCATTGCTTTTGTATCCAAGGTAGTAGATTTTAGATAATCATAGAGAGATCCATTTTCATGATAATCAGTGATAAGATAAAGTTGTGTCCAAGATCCAGTACCTTTAATATCTGCAGCAATAAATCCTGCAAGACAAAATTAAGACAAGACTTTTCTAAAAGGTAAAAGTAAAGGTTTCGCCTATCCAATCATGCCCACCTCTAGAGGGCAGTGCTCATCTCCATATCTTAATTGAGGGAGCCATCGCACAAAGACACTTCCGGGATCATATGGCCAGCATAACTATATGCCAAAGGAGCCTTGTTACCTTCCCACTGAAATGATACCTATTTATCTACTCACATGTGTATGTTTTCAAGCTGCTAGATGAGCAAGAACTGGGGAAAGTAATGGAGGCTCAGCCCGTCACATTATTAAATTACTAAAAATATTTATAATTATGAACAATCAAAATATCAAAAAAAAAATTAAAAAAGAACTTTTGCCGAAGTAAAAAGTAGAGAAGAAGTGTTAACAAATTCAAGAGATCAAAAGGAATGAGGCCAACTTCACCTCAGGGGAGACAAGATTGGACAATGCGGAGATTACATTTAGCTATGTCACTCACCCAAAATATTTTCATGCCTCATCAGGACAGTCTGATAGATTTCTGTCTCTCGAAACCAGCTGGCTTCCTCGGTGGTGAAGAAAACTTTGACAGCCACTTTTTCTCCTCTCCACTTTCCCATCCAAACCTCCCCGTAGCGACCTTTGCCAATCTGCTTCACCATCTGAATCTGTTTCGCTATAGTCCTCTGTACCTGTTAAGAGACATAAAATGTTGGCGTTATGCCTACTTCCAACCAGACACCATTTTTGAAAATTTTCAAAGGTTGGAACCATTTTCAATAATTTATATTTCTTCTTGAGTTAATAGCATTAGGTCTTTGTTCTGATCTTGCAGGTCTTCCTTTATCTAGTACAGGTTTCTTTTCTCTCTGTGGCCAACAAATATCTTCAGTAGGTCAAAATCAGGACAAAATATACTTTCAGTTGTGTTCACTAACAAATGACGCTCAGATATCTAGTGGACTTCTATGATTAAGTACACACATGCAATTGGATTTTCCTGGTCTTAGTCAATTCCTTAACCAAATATTTCTCAACTTTAGCATCCTTAAGATGTCTGGACTTCAACTCCCAGAGTTCCTAGTCTAAAGTTGTCTACCTAAAGATGCATCTCCAGTGTTTTTATACCAAGTTCACCCTGAATATTCATTCAAGTTGTGAATATTCAGTTGGAAAGTGAAGGACAAAGCTCATTTATAAGATTAAAATTATTTCAACTTGTTTTGAAATGAAAATGAAGTTTAAAAATACAAAATTAAAATGAAGATTTTGTAATTTAAAAAATGGACAAAATCCAATCCAAATAATAAAACAAAAGCAAGAACGGAAAACCTACATAACTGAAATCTTCTTAGCTGTTCACCTGCAGCCTATAGATTTTGTCCTATATTTTTCATGAAACACTAATGCTGTTATTTTCTTTAGTTGAGATACGATGCAAACAAATTGTGCAAATGGTGACAATTCTTATATTATAGATTGACCATTATAATTATGATCTCAGTACTCTTTTCTTACCAATAGAGGGAGCCCTGAACCACTTCCTGAGCTCTGTGACTGCTCAATGAGGTCTTTCAAGGATTCTCCTGGTGGAATATATGTCTCATCTTGTTCAAGTCCAATGCTGTAAGGAGGAGGTCGCCGTCTCCTTTCTAGTCTTTTATACCTGCAGATGTATATATAAGAATAACTACAGGTGATGCTACCAATACTGGTTGGTCATGAAAGCAAGCAAAAGGTAATGTTTCCACCATTGTTTGCTACCATTTTTCCATCGTTAAATGCTATGAATAATTCAGCATTTTAAGACCTTCGTGACATTGTTTGTCTCTCTGTAAATTTGTACCCTTCTCATTATTATCATTATATACATACATTATAACTATCTGGTTACATTTAACAATGACCAAAAATCTATTACTTCTGTAATAAACAGGGACAAGCATATGGCAAACGTTAACTCCTGAACCGCCTCCTATCTGAAGGAAAGGAGGCTAAAATTACTCAGTACTACTAGCAGCCTGGGTGAAATCACAACCATCCTTGCAATGAAATTGAAAAACATATGCTGCCATGCAGCTGGGAGAATGTAAAATACAAGCTCTCTGAGTTTGTTCTGCGCATAATAAGCAAGCCCTCATTGCTAAGTCAGCTGTCCCAATTCCTGCACTATTTTCCCTATTTTCTTAGTACATTTTTTCACACCCACTGGTCCTTTCATGAGCGGTCATGAAAAGTACACAAAGTAAAAGCAAGTTTATATGTTACATAAAGTATCTCAGAAACTTGATAGAAAAGGAATAAAATGACAGAAAAAAAAGAAAAGGTACCAAGGTATGCCATGCAATGTAATAAAATCACCTGCAGTGGACCTGCAGGAAATACTTTTATGAATGGAAGAGCCAAATGGCAATCCACCCTAAATGAATCAAAGGAAGAAAAGTGTGTATTTCAAAGAAAGTTTGGTCAGTTATTTTCCCTATGAATGAAAGTGCTTTATTTTCATGCTATGTTGGTGTAGAGTTGTCTGGAGGAACATAATAATTAAATATTAAAACTGGTAAATAAAAATCTGCCATTTCATTCTGCAGGCCAACAGCTTTGCCTAATTTGTGTATCTTCCAGATGTGAGCAATTTAGCTCCCCAAATTATCAGCAATGGTTGTGCTAGCTGGGGAAGTGAACTCCACATGTCCTGAGGGTCCCCAAGTTGAGAAAAATCTGTTCAGAAAACATAACCTTCTTGATAATATCCAACATGGTTTATGCTACTTTATTTGTCACTACCTTACCAAGTTAATTTGGGAATGATGTTAATTATACACATACATGTAACGGTACATACAAAATTTCATAAGGGTTTTGTCTCTTGGATAGATGTACTTTCTCTGTGAGTTTTATAAACCATGGGGAGGGAGGGAGGGAGGGGAGGGGAGGGGAGGGGAGGGAGGGAAGGAAGGAAGGAAGGAAGGCCTCTTTTTCTAAGACACTGTGTTACTCAGAAACAAAGAAAAAACAGAAATCACAGAGACTTAAGCATTAAGAATGTACAATGATCCAAATTCAATAAGAAAAAGGATGATCTGAATTACCTATGGGCAAATGTGGCACACCTGCCCACCACCTTCTTAAATCCAAAATATGTTTCCCACGACCATGAGGGGCAGTGGCATATACTCAAGAAAAGAAGCAAAATTTAATCAGGATGTCCCAATGTGTGTCATACATGCACTTAAGTAAGTCTCAAACCACCCCACATATAATGGGATATATGCCTCTAGGCATGTCAACAAATAAATATATAGAAAAATTAATGATGCCTTTGAGAACAACACACTGTATACTGGAGTGTTATTTCCATGAGCCTAATTCACAAAACAATTCTGCAATATTTATTTCAACCCTGGCACAACCTGAAGAAGTAATGAAACTTTTAAAATTCATCATTAACCAGGAAAAAAAATACAATTTGATGTCTAGTCATGTTTAACTGATAAATCTTAATATTTTAGACATTTCAATCTATGCCTGAATATCAAATACTTTTGGAATTATAACCTCACCTCAAATCCTAAAAATCTCAATGCTCAATAATTTAAACCAGAATTTATGACGATTTCTAATATACCACGCCTGTTTTACTTTATTCACAAACCCACTTTCCATTTATCTCATACATACAGGCTCAGTTTTTGTACATTTTCATTCTGACTGTCAAAGCTGTGTCAAAAGTACTATTAAAACCAAATTGTTCTCTCAATCTTCATACAAACGCAAGAAATTAGAACACGTTAAAATGATCTTTCATGTCAAATTGTGCTGTAAAGAAACAGTCAAGGATAAAAGTATAATTTTCTTTTCCAGACATACCTGAAGTAACAGAATATGATGATGCATACCAAGAGTATGCTACAGACAATCACTGAAATTAGCAGAGCCTTCTGGTGAACATTTCCCTTTGAAAAAACTTAAAGAAGAAAACAAAAGCCTTTATCAATCAAGAGATAATGAGAACTTCAGTTTGCACATATTTGTGAACAGCAGGCAGGAGGGAAAGATAAAATTAAGACAGTGGTGACATTAAAAATTGCAGCACCCAGATGTGACTTATAAAGTTTCTCGCATTAACCACTGCTATCCAGAACAGGAGCTGAAACAAAATCAAATTCAAAGAATATGCCTGTCCTGAATTTTTTGAATTCAACCAGTTTTATAATACTCTGAATCATTTTAAATCCAGATTTCGTTGGTAATTACTCCTATTCTTCTTTTTAATAGTTTGGGCATTGGACAATTCTGTGATGGTAGCAAATGCAGAAGTGATGTAAAGTATCCATGGTAAAATACTTTACTGCACGGATGTCAAATTCACAGTGTCACATTGCCATCATGTGACATATTGTGACATTTATTTCCCTTTGCGGAGTTGAGGTAGACATGGCATGCGCGAGATGCATCCGCTCGCGGGCCACCAGTTTGATACTCCAGTTTGATACTCACTTCCATGGATCTGCAATTGTTACCATCATAATATGGTACAATTATCAACTACACATATTGCGAGATAGGCAACTTATCTCTAAAAAAAATGAGGAGGATGGAGTGGGAAGTTAAAAGTTAAAGTTTACAAATAGTCTATTCCAACTTTCAACCACCATTAACATTTGACTCTACACAAATTTAGTGGCACAGAAATTTAACAAAGAAAAATCAAACATATCAGCAGTGGGATTTCCAGGGCTAATATGAGTCTGCAAATAGACATCAGGACTCCAGAGATAGTTAGCACTCATAAAGGACTGGTCAAAACTCAGGTTAGAAATTAGAAGCGTGTTTTTATGAAAGTTACATTTACATCAGAAAAAAACATCTAAGCCAGCCTCAGAACATCCACACAATAAATCATGACATTTGTAAATGTTTCCGGTGTAATTGTTATTAGCAACTATGCAAATTCAAGGAAATTGCATTTTTATTAGGAAATGTTGAGATGTGGGAAAGTTAGGAGGAAAGAATATATTCAATTTAAAAAATAAAGAATAAAGAATAAAGAAATGAAATACCAAAATATTTCATACTGAAATACTATCCAATTAATATAGTAGCAGCAACAAGATTTACTGTGATTTACAGTATATATCTCTAATAGCCACCATCACAAATATAAGACTTTAGGAGATTATGGTCTCCATTTCAAGTATACATTTCTTTATCTGTGAACTGCAAACTGATCCAGCATGCATCTGGTTATTTGAGAGTAAGAGGAGCTCTTTCGGTGTTCTATATAGCAAGACAAGATGAAGAGAAATCACACCATAAGCTGCACGTCCTCTATCCTTATTGATCGGCCCTGGAATATGACTATTGTATTTCGGATCTACCAGCATGATACAACAAGGAGGTGCCTAGGGGACTCTTAGCTTTCTTATTAAGCACGTTTACTTCCAAGCTCTGATTTCATCGTCTATTTTGGCCCCTGAACAACATTTCCTTTCTGGTTTGCCTCTGAAGTGAGAGGCAGACAAGGAATCTATCTCCGGTTTGCATCAGGTTTAATGTTTTCATTTTATAGTATCTACTAGTGGTGTAGAGACCAAACAAGGCTGGTGATTTTGAAATTGCTTTTATGAAGGATATGAAAAAATACTTTAGTGTCCATAGTTAAAAAAAAAAATGTCACAAAATCCCAACTTTTGGCAACTTTTAAGTCTTGTGGACCTCAACTCCCAGAATTTGCTTTGTTGGCTGAGGAATTCTGGGAGTTGAAATCCACAAGACTTAAAGTTGCCAAGGTTGGATACCCCTGTCCTAGAGCTTGCATGAGTTAAGCTGCATGTGTGTACACACTGGACACTGTTCCACAAGTCAGGTGAGTGCACATGCACACTGGCCCGTTGCTCACTGGCCCAGTTCCAAATAAGCCACGTCCCAGTAGTGGGTCATGGTCTGGGGTTTGGGAAGCAGCCATGTGGAGAGAGAAGCAGCAATGTGGGTCATCTCATGTCCTCTCTTTTCCGAAGATGTTCTGAAGAACCAGTTTATTCACTGGTTTGTTTAGTCCTTGCTACAGTTATAAGCTTTACATTCAGAGAAATGTCTTCTGTTTGCCATGAAGACAGTTTGAATATTTCCGAGATAGATTCTATGCAATCTCCTGTAAAAAATGTATCTAAGGAGATCTCTCTGCATTTCAGAAATACCTAATATTTTCCAACTAATTTTCTTCATTCAAAAGCTAGAAGCATGTTCAGGTTTACTACGGTTGCAGTGAAAGTCTGCAATGAAAGCCTATCAAACTCAATTTCATGTCCCCACTTATTTCATCGCTAGCCTGGGAGCCAGACATAGTGGCACCACCATTTCTGTTTGCAAGAGCATAAAATCAGTAAAGACATTTTTTTTAAATCTGTTCTGCCTGAAACTTGCTTTTTTCATATCCAATATTTTTATTCTTTCCAACATTATAATGGGAATTAACTGTTTTTCCTGCTTGTCTAATAAGCATCCTGCCTAACCAGGGTATGGTCTTCTTGTTCTTACAAGGACATTTTACTGCGTAGGAAAGCTGTTTAAAACCTGGAACATTGAGTGGGGGTGAATGTTCTGTTTTTATCTTGTTACCAGTAAATTAAGACTTTATTTTTTTGCCTTTGTGTTTTTTTTGCCTTTGCCATTTCCTTCATATTTAGAAAATGATAGCACAAGGAAAAGCCCTTGCAAAGTACGGCACCTTTACTTTTCCTACGATCTCTTCTGTATCTCAGTTAATTTGTAGGTTAAGGAACCTACTACTAGAGAATTTCTTTAGACTGTGCCTTCCCTTGAGATATGACCCTGGGTTATAAGCTTTTTGAATCAGAAACATCTATTTTTCACGTGACAAGTGAAAAATGGTTGTGTCTGGAAAATGATTTTGCATAGGTTGTTTCCTGTTAAAGAAAAATATTGAGCTGGAGGTTTAAATTCTTGATTTTCAGAATAATGAATTAAGAGAATTTTAGACAACTGACAATTGATAAATCAAAACAGTTCAGAAATTTAGTAAGATTTTCAGTTGTCCTTCTTATTTGAGCCGTGGTGGTGCAGTGGTTAGAATGCAATACTGTAGGGTACTTCTGCTGACTGCTGGCTGCCAGCAGTTCAGCAGTTCGATTCTCACAAGGTTGACTCTGCCTTCCATCTTTCTGAGGTCAGTAAAATGAGGATCAGATTGTTGGGGAAAATATGCTGACTCTGTAAACCACTTAGAGAGGGCTGTAAAGCCCAGTGAAGTGGTATATAAGTCTAAGTGCCATTCTCAGCACATTGTAGACTTCTTGAAAAAAATTATCGCTTCATAAAGAACACAATGGGCTAAAGACCTGTGGCATCAGTTGTCTGCTTCTGTGATTGTGGATAGGTAGAAGCCACAGAATATGTTCTTTGTTGCTCCTTTCATAGAAACATTTGAACCAGGTTTATCCTCCTTCTTATCAGCAGATATCTTGATTGTTCTGACTCTGCTCTGAAGCTGCTCACAAATTAATTGCCTTTTATTACAGTGGCTAAGTTTTGCTCAGCAGCATGTAAGGTCAAGCTCCTGTTACATAGATATATATTTATGTTATTTCAACCAGGTCTTCTAGTCTAACCTTTGCTCAGGCAGGAAACTCTATATCATTTCAGACAAATAATTGTCCAATCTCTTCTTAAAAACTTCCAGTGTTGAAGCATTTATAATTCCACTGATTAACTGTCAGGAAATATCTTCTTAGTTCTAGGTTGCTTCTCTCCTTGATTAGTTTCCATCCATTACTTCTTGTTCTGACTTCAGGTGCTTTGGAGAATAGATTGAGCCCCTCTTCTTTGTGGCAACTCCTGAGATATTGGAATATTGCCATCATAATAAATAATAGCAATAGCAATAAGACTTATATACTGCTCCACAGTGCTTTGCAGACCTCTCTAAGCAGTTACAGAATCAGCATATTGCCCCCAACAATCTGGGTCCTCATTTTACCCACCTCAAATGAGTCAACCTTGAACTTGGTGAGACCCGAACTGCCCAACTGCTGACAGCTGGTGATCAGCAGAAGTAGCCTGCAGTACTGCATTCTAACCATTGTACCACCGCAGCTCTTAATAATATTTATAAGTATATTTATTATAATATTTATAATAAATAAATAATAAATTGACTGAACTGAACATCAACTAAATTACTACATGGTCTTTAATTGAGTGGAATTAATTTGCTTAAGTGCTTAAAGAAAGAGAATCTAAAGACGAATGGGTTCACTAAGTAGATATACTGCACAAATGAAATTTCACATATTCTTCAAGGAAAAACATTTTCTTAAAATGAAGCCATTTTAACCGTATGGAGTACATTGCTACATATAAACCAGTCATCTAGTTAAATAGAAACAAGCATCAAAGTAATTCACTCCTGCATTTTAAGGCTATATTATTAGATAAGTTTTCCTGATTTCAGAGGAACAAACTATTTAGAAAATCATCTTAGGTTAAATGAAAAAGGGCACCATACAAAATGCTTACGTTGTCGTATCATCCTTGACAAACTTACGTAGTCTTTTTCGAAAATGGATATGTATTAAGATATTAGGATTAGTAATCTTTGTTACCTGGATGTTCTAATGGTGGTAGAGTAGGGTGAAGATCTTTATTACAGAAATCCTGATCTGTGCAGCATGCTATTAATCTTCTTGGTTGAGACAATGGAGTGTCCTGTAATAATTATAGATAACTTTTATATAAAACAGTTCATGACAATTTTCAACTATAAGGAGACATGTGTGCATGCAAACAGTTCAAAGTGCTTGTCTTAAAAACTTAGGAGTGCACCCATTTCAACATGAATACAATGTATAACTCAGGTTGCTTATCATTATCGAACTCCTTTGTGTCTTTTTTACATGTGCAATTTAATTCCTAAAACTTATGAGGAAATGTTTAAAAAAAAACATTAGGATTTGAGTTTCTATTAAAAACCAAGGGCCCCAATTTAGTGAAGACCTTACTAATGACAAATTTGGCATTTGCAGCTAGATGCAGTTATCTGCTTGTGATTTGCTACCTTTTTTTTGCCAATTTCCAGCAAAAACGACCCATTGGAGAAGTTGGATATGTTTAACAATCGACAAAAATTGTTGTCAAACTGGGTCCAACTTGAGTTACCACTGCAACAACTTAGGATAGAAATTCCAGTTCCAATTGTGGACATAAGTTAAGGTCTATTTGCTTAGTGACTGAGGTTAAAACAGCACTGAAAAATTGTGACTTATGACCATTTTTCATATTTACAAATCCTGTGGTTACATGACCAAAATTCAGATGCTTGGCAACTGGCATGTATGCACGACGGTTGCAGTATCTTCATTGCCTTTTGCAACCTTCTGACAAGCAAAGTCAATGAGGAGATTTACTTAACAACCATGTTACCAACTGAACAACTGCAGTGATTTGCTTAATAACTATGGCTGCTACTACTTTTACAATTCTGAGCTGGTCTTTTCTTAGCATGGATAAGTTGGCTGTGGTTGTGTTTCTGGTCAAACACAGAATATTTCTGCTGTTCATATTAATGGCAATAATATTCTCAATTTGTTTCTTTGACCTTGTAAAAATAATGCAGAACATTAATATTTTAATTCCCGACAATATCCAGACCGATTCTGAAAGGTTGAGTTCACAACATTTTCTTACTCGGCATTGGAAGTCAGAACCTTCTAAACCTATGCAGCCAGTAGTAAAACTCTGTCCTCCAGTATCTTCATCTTCCACCATCGCAAAGCAATAGCCATCCGTGCTGAATACAAGAAAAAAAGAAAGATATTTCATTTAGCCTTTAATATTCATGATTCTCATAAGTGTTGTTCATAATTCATGAAGCATCTGAACCTGGAAATCATTAAATCAAGTGCAGTAAACATTTATTAAAAGCCAAACTGTGTGATGCTCTGTGGCTAGCCATTCTTTGCAGAAAATCGCTTTTTCTCCAAAAATCTGGTACTTCTGGTATTTGAGAGTTATTTTCCACTGGTGTTTGATTAGAACAGAGTAAGCAAGGCCTTTGCAGCATTTGTTGACTTCTAATGATTATTATTATATTCAATTATTTGACAAACTGTTATTATGAGTTTTCTGTCAGTGACTTCTCCTCATTCCTACTGCTCTGGGGACTGCCAGGAAAATGGATCAGAAAGAGGCTGGAGGAATGCATGAGCTGTGTCTTGCTATGGTTTGTTCACATCATCCTTAACTTTGGCTGAGCACATTGCAAAAAACCACAGCCAACTTATCAGAGCAAGGAAAATCAGCTTTACAATCTAGACGGATTCAATTTGCTAAGGAAGAATTGAACAACATAGCACATTCCAGCCAGAGCTGCCTATCACAAAGCAAAAGTGATGGCTGGAGAGCCAAAATGTTTGGGTTACAACAGACTGTACAATTATGCAAACTACATGGGGCCCCGACAAATTTTTTAAAACATCTTTTTGGTGGATGATTTTTTTTCAGTTTATGTTAAGCTTGCAGTATGTTTTATACTACAGCACTACAATACTGTTTCCTGCTTCCAAATGTGAGGAAGCAGCATTACTGTTTCTTTGGCAAACAGTCTGATTTTTAATATGTTGTTATGACTGTGCTGGAATTCAGGATGAAAGATGCAACATTTAATTACATTAGAAAGAAGCTCTAACTGAGCCAGTTCAGGTATTAATCAGGGATCCATGAACTGAAAGCAAATAAATACCAACCCAGGCACTTCCCTTCCTCAGGAGCCTAATTTTTGTATAGACATTCTAATCTTATTTTAAAAATAGGATGCTCTACAAAGTCAAAATAAGGAAACTGAGATAAAAAAAAGTTCCCAACAATCTACAATATGAAAACAAAGACAAGACGAATAATCAAAAAAAGAAAAACTTCATTATGACTTACCAGCTGAACTCAAATGTTCCTGATTTTTAAAAAAATGCTGGCATATTTTAGCATTGATGTATACATGCTAATATCAAGTCTACAATCAAGTCTGAATGGAAACCGTTTTATTACTACTTTACAGTCTTGCATGGAACAATTAAGAAAGCAGAAATGAAGTGTGTTGTGTTCTATGGTCAATAGTGGTTTTTTAAAATATTTTTTTAATTTTTGCTATATAAAGAAAGAGCAACAGTTTCAATGTCTATACAAACAGTGTGTTGTCTGGTTACAGTTAATTTTAGCAATCATAATCATAGTAATAATGTTCATTAGTAGTAGTCATATAATAACAGTATTTTCTTGACATATTAATACTTATTAATACTAATTTATATTAATAATAAACATATCATAAGCCCTCATAGTAAAATTAATCCTTCTCTTACAATTTTAAATATTCTAACTTCTGATTCTGTTGGTTAACCATTGATAAAACAAATCTCATATTTCAAAATATTCCGTATCTTCCTTCTCTTTAATTTCAAGTGTTAATTTACCCATTTCTGCATATTCTAGTATTTTTTTAAAATTATTATGGTCTCTTCTGTAAGGATCTCCACACCTTTCAAATTTTGTGCAAATACAATTCTGGCTGCTGTTAACACATGTAGTATCAGATACATAGTCCCTTTCAATAGTAATTTTTAATAAAGTAAACATCTGGGAGGGAAATAATAAAACATGTAATAGAATTACTGACAGACCCTGAAAACAGAAGTTTTAATTAAAGATTACCTAACCCATGGTGTAACTCAGGTGTTTACTAAATGTAAAAAAAAAAAAGGGGGGGGGACATAGTCCAGAAATTTTGTAGCTATTTAACCAATATCATTATCCAGTTTCTATTCTACAAGTTGCAATATCTTACATATTGATCAAGAGTAAAGAACTTGGAAGGTAATTTTTGAAAAACCTCCAAACGATTTTCAGTTCCAATCCAGAGGAAAACATATATTATTATTCTCCACACTGAGATAGTAAAAAGAACCTTTTCAATTGAATCAGTTTGAGTAACATTCAGAACCTTGAAACAATAAAATTATTGTCATTTCTCTCTATTCAATCCACCTTTTTTTCTTTTGTTCTCTCCTTTTGTTCTCTCTGCCATCTGTTTTTGCTTTCTTCTTCCCTTCCCCCCATCCCATGCCTTTTCTCCTCTTTTTTTCCACCAACTGGTTTCCACTTCAAGCAAAGATTTTCAAAGCTCACTGTTCTTTTTTGCACTGACCTCATCAAGCAAACTGAAACTTCATCCTCCTGCAGACTTATTTTGAAAACTGTGCATTCTCTTTTTCATAGGACTCTTTGGGATTGAGTGAGGCAGAACCCAAAGTGGGCAGCTGTTGCAAGCTACTGAAATTTTAGCCACATGCAACAGATACACTACTACTGATACAGGCTTTAAATTGTAATATCAATATATACATATTCTTCAAACATACCACATAGATCCTGGATATGATATATTAGAATATCATGCAAAAAAAATTATAATATCGTGCAAAAGTTCATTTATTTCAGTAATGCAACTTAAAAGGTGAAACTAATATATGAGATAGACTCATTACATGCAAAGCAAGATAGTTCAAACCATGATTTGTCATAATTGAGATGATTATGGTTTACAGCTCATGAAAACCCCAAATCCACAATCTCAGAAAATTAGACTATTAAATGCAATCAATAAAACAAGGATTGTACATAGAACAATATCGGACCTCTGAAAAGTATAAGCATGAATATGTACTCAGTACTTGGTTTGGGCGCCTTTTGCAGCAATTACTGCCTCAATGTGGTGTGGCATGAAAGCTATTAGCCTGTGGCAATGCTGAGGTGTTATGGAAGACCAGGATGCTTCAATAGTGGCCTTCAGCTCTTCTGCATTGTTCGGTCTCATGTCTGTCATCTTTCTCTTGGCAATGCCCCATAGATTATTTATGGGGTTCAGGTCAGCCGAGTTTGCTGACCAATCAAGCACAGTAATCCCACAGTCATTGGACCAGGTTTTGGTGCTTTTGGTGTGTGGGCAGGTGCCAAGTCCTGCTGGAAAATGAAGTCAGCATCCCCATAAAGCTAATCTGCGGAACGAAGCATGAAATACTCCAAACTCTCCTGGTAGATGGCTGTGTTAACCCTGGACTTAATGAAGCACAGTGGACCAACACCAGCAAATAACATGTCTCCCCAAATCAACACAGACTGTAGAAACTTCACACTGGACTTCAAGCATCTTGCAATGTGTGCCTCTCCTTTCTTCCTCCACACTCTGGGTCCTTGGTTTCCAAATGAGATGCAAAAGTTGCTCTCATCAGAAAAGAGGACTTTGGACCACTGAGCAACAGACCAGTTCTGTTTTTCTTTAGCCCAGGTAAGATGCTTCTGACGTTGTTTGTTGTTCAGGAGCAGCATGACAAGAGGAATATGACATTTGAAGCCCATGTCCAGGATCCTTCTGTGTGTGGTGGCTCTTGATGCACTGACTCCAGCCTCAGTCCACTCCTTGTGAAAGTCCCCAATACTTTTGAATGGCCTTTGCCTGACAATCCTCTCCAGGCTGCAGTCATCCCTGCTGCTTGTGCACCTTTTTCTTCCACACTTTTCCCTTTCACATAACTTTCTATTAATGTGCTTTGATACAGCACTTTGGGAACATCCAACTTCTTTTGCAATTACCTTTTGAGGCTTTCCCTCCTTATGGAGGGTGTCAATGATGGTTTTCTGCACAACCGTCAGGTCAGCAGTCTTTCCCATGATTGTGATTCCTACTGAACCAGACTGAGAGACCATTTAAAGGCTCAGGAACCCTTTGCAGGTGTTATGGCTTAATTAGCTGATTAGAGTGGGACACTTTGAGCCAAGATTACTGAACCTTTTCACAATATTCTAATTTTCTGAGATTGTGGATACAGCACTTTGGGAACATCCAACTTCTTTTGCAATTACCTTTTGAGGCTTTCCCTCCTTATGGAGGGTGTCAATGATGGTTTTCATGAGCTGTAAGCCATAATCATCCCAATTATGACAAATCACAGCTTGAACTATCTTACTTTGCATGTAATGAGTCTATCTCATATATTAGTTTCACCTTGTAAGTTGCATTACTGAAATAAATGAACTTTTGCACGATATTCTAATTTTTTGAGTTTCACCTGTATAAGATGTTAAACAACCTTGCTTTAATTTTTATAAATATATATATATTACCTCAGGTAAAAGAAGTTTAATTTGTTAGTGATTACATTTAAATGGAATTACAGTATGCCCTGAAGAAATATTTATACTATTTATCTCAAAAGTCTGTTCATAAGACCTAAATTCAGTTTTAAACTTGTTTTGGATTAGACATAATCCTTCTAAACTGAGAAGCCCTTACAACACTGTCTATATATTTATCTGGCACAAGGAATTACTCTCTTAAAGTATAATAACTCTACTAAATCAATACACCCAAGTTACAATAGTGCAATCTGTGGTAAATAGATTTCACTATTGAAAGGTTTTGTAGCCACTTTGAAGGCTACAAAATCCATATGAAAGAAGCACATTGAGTCGAAAAAATCCTTGTGCATGATATAACTTATATACGGTTTAGTACTTGAGAGTTCAAGGTAGAGAAAAAGGTTAAAAATGTTGGGGTTACATTGACAAATATAAACTCTAAATTGTTTCAAAACAATTTTGCAGCTGTGTGAAATGATATTAAAGATGAGATAACTTGCAATTATCTTCATTGGGCAGAATCTATGTAAATAAGATGAATATTTTACCAAAGATGTCGATTTTATTTCAGAGTTTACCAATATTAATAACCAACAGTCCATTTCAACAATGGCAAAAGGATATTTCTACATTTATATGGCAAAGGAAAAAAAACCCAAGAATTAGATATAAATCTGCAAGATGCTAAAGAAAGAGAAGCTTTGGGTTTATTAGATTTGAAATTGCCACATGAGGTTTCACTTAACAATTGCTTAGTGATAAAGTTGCTGGTCCCAATGGTAACCATTAAGTGAGGATTATAAGCAAGGTATTTTAATATTTAGATTGTTTTCAACAAAAGAAGGATAGTGACTAAAACATTTTTGACAGAAATAAATTACACAACTGTTCTTTCTTATTATGAGGACAAAACTTGCTAGATTTTAAAATTGACAAGCATATTTTTTTCCTTCTCAAAAGTGCCTTTATAATTATAGGGGTGCTTAAACATTTCCTAAATTCCCTTTCCTGTCCATTTTTTAAAAATTAACATAATGTAGAGCTGATTCAATATGAAAAGCACACTTAACTTTGTGAGGAGAGTTGTTGACTACTTTTTATAAGCATCAATGGCTTACAACTTTAAGAAGATGTCTCAAATTCAGCACCTCAGATAAGGGTCATGGATGTTTTTAAATATGGTCATCTCTCTAAAATGAGCATCCGCTTGGCTGCTAATGTTCACAATTCAATGCTTTTAAAGAGATGTGTGAGTGCTTTGATAACATCCAGTGGTGGGGCTGCTACCAGTTCGGACCAGTTCTAGTGAACCAGTAGTTCCAACAATCAGCTGGCCCCGCCCCTCTGTACCCGCCCTTTCCTGTCCTATATTTCCATCTTTTTCAGCTCAGCTGATTCGCATGACACAGTAGATTTCCGCGCCTCCGCTGTTCTACTTACCGGGGCTGCCCTAGAAGGTAAGTTGTAGAGATTCAAATTGGTGTTTTTTGAATACTGTGCACGCTCACAAAACCAGTGGTTAAACTAGTTGCAGCCCACCACTGATAACATCCAATGTTTTATTGAAGAAAGTTGTTCCTAAAGGGCTAGGAAAATAAATGTGTGTTTGGAACTTCCCAGGTGCAGGATGTTTACATGATGATGGTTAGTGTTTGCAAAGGCTGAAGGTTAACATAACCTTTACAAGCCCGGGTTTAGGAAATGCTTTCAATAGCTTTCACCTCTCCCAGTAAAAGGTCCTTGTTAATCCATCCACCTGTGCACTCAGCCATCTCTTCCTGCAGGTAGGTTGACAGTATTTACATATTCTTTGTGGTGATTCAAGGTAATAGAGAAACCCAACACCACGGCCTTAAAAATATACCAGAGTCTGTGGGCTTCATTCTGAGCCAAAATTAAATGCTTTAAACAAATCTCGTCCCCTTGTGAAATTCTCCAAGTACGATACAAATTGCCAGCTCTCACTAGGTGGCACTTGGACAGATAGGTAGATGTGTTATGCACTCAAGTAAATATTTGCAGTTAGATCTTTTATGTTTGCATTCTTCACCGTATAGACCTTATCTGCATGAAGTGGCACAAAAGGAATAACTAAAGTTACACTTTCTATGTCACAAAGACCGGCAACTTCTTAAGAAAGTTAGAAACAGCAGAAACACTTTTTAAAAAGTGCCTAAAAAGTGAGTTTATAAAAGTCATTGTCACATTCAACAATACAGACATCCTAATTTCTTTTGAAAGAACTGAGTACTGATATGTACAAACATATATTCTGTAAAAAGAAATACTATAAGTGTTTTAAATTCTGCCTATATAGAATATTGAGTAAACTATATTTGCAAGCTATGAACTTTGTTCCTTGATTTAATTCTAACAATAGACTTTTTTAAAAAAACCAAAGAATTGGGTGGTTTCTTTTTAAGTAACCCAGACAGCAACTATATTGTTAGAAAAGGAAGGAAGGACAACTTGAAATCCATTCAACCTTCATCTTAACTGAATGAAAAACATAACTACATCAGTCTAAAATGTACTTGTACATTTTGCCTTTTTATTCTATCAAAAGCCATCCACCTTAAATCAGTGTAGTATGTATGATTTGGGTTTCTCTAGGCCTAAGACTTGTAGGAAAATGTGTTGGCACAGAACAAATATACTTAATATTTTCTCTTGTATTAATCAGAATTAACTCCAAATATCAAATATAAAGTTTAAAAGGTTAACAGAATCAACACCATATGGAAAGACATTTGTCTTCTTTTTCTGCCAAGACTATAATATTTCTGTAATGTAAAATGCATTATCCAGAAAGATTACCATAATAGGAAAATGAGCTTAGAAGGAGAAAAAAAGAACCTGTATAAAAGCCTCCATCATATATGTTAAGCAGGAGCATAAGTTAAACAACAGTTAGACAAAATTTTCCTTACCAGGTGATCCCTTTCTTTAGTAAATGATATTTACTCATCCTAAAATCTCAGTATTTATTTGGGTAGCAAAATTAACCACCATTTACAGATGCATTTTTCATTATTTGGTTTAATCTTTTAAAAGCATTTAAGTCAAATGGGCATGACACCAAGTTAAATCATGGGCACAGCAAAGTATGTAAATTGCACAGTGTGTGAAGATTTCTCCACCAACCTGCAGGTGTTGTTTTTTGAATTTTCGGGACAGTAGTGATGACAGTGACACCAGAGCTTCTTCTGGGTAGGAGCAGCTGCTGTGCTTCCTCCATCTTCTTTCCTAGCATCGATATTTCCTTTCCCAGAATTCCTCAAGGGCCTGCTGTCTAGAAAGTTTGCTACACAGGAGAAGAAAACAACAGCAATGCAAATAAGACTAAGAATTTTGAGTCGGTAGTCCAGAGTTCTGGAAGATGCAGGTCATAAAGGACTCACACACATAAATGACAGATGTACTCATTGTTGAAATATTGTAACTTTTTCTAATTCATAGCAACAAGATCACTTAATTTTTATTTTCTTTACTTTTGATTATATAAAATTTACTACCCATCATTATAACTTATCTATCTGTATTTGAGAAACATTCCTATTACAGATCCCTTCCCACGTTTGACTCTGGCATCCTTGATATTTATGATATTAAGGGCTTTTCCATACAGTATTGTTTGCACTACCCAAATTCTTAAAGCTGAGTGCAGAGATATTTTTAGTTATGTAAAACAAAAATTCTCTATGTTGCGAGAAAGTGAATTAAATTTAAATAGTTTTTAAATAGGACAATATATTTAATACTACATGTTTTGACGGCAGCGAGAATTGTATTTGCACAACACTGGAAAAATGAGGAAACTCCTACAGATGAAAATATCATTTAAAAAATATTAGATTGTGCAGAAATGGATAGGTTAACATTAAAGAATAAAGAGGATACAGAATATTTTTCAAGATGGGATTTGTTTTACCAATGGTTAGATAGTAGAGGTAGAAATTAGAAGTTGGAAGACTACCACTATGTACAAGTAAATAATATTATTATTACTATTATTATGTATAACTAAATTCAGACAGTACACTGTTCATTAAGCACTTATGTATGTTAAAGAAAAATGCATAAATAATTTTTTTTAAATGTAAATAGTTCTTTATTCCAATAGACTACCTGATCCATTGCTGTAAAGGAGAAGCTGCAAAGGTTCCAAGTTTGCATTTCAAAGTCTGTAGCTAGCTCTGAGGGAAGGTTTTGAATTTATGTTTACCAACAAAGAAATAAAGGGAGACTAGTATAGATCTATTCCAAGTTATTTAGTTCTCATCAGCTAGCCATACCCTCTTGGGATTTGAATGCCGGAGCGGAAGCAGTATGCTCCCTCCTATAATTGGTTGCCCTGATAGACCGGTCTCACACTCTAAGGCAAGTGTCTTCAAACTTGGCAAAAGTTTAAGGCTTGTGGACTTCAACTCCCAGAATTCCTGAGTTAACATGACTGGAGAAGGAATTCTGGGAGTTGAAGTCCACAAGTCTTAAAGCTGACAAGTTTGAAGACCCCTGGTCTGAGGGAAGGTATTCTGGGACTTTTGCAACCAGGAACTGCACTGTGATCTACCAAATTATTGTAGAAACTATGCAGCATTAAACCTAAAGCAGGTGAACAAGATAACAGTATTTCTAAACTTAAGGCAATGGTTGACTACATATATTAATAGTCTTAAGATACAAACATCTTCAAGGTGAAGTGCAGACAATCCACATTTAGCAACTGCCCTGTTTAGTGATCATTTCTAGTTACCACAGAGATAAAAAACCAAACCTTGCCTTCATGACCTTTGCAGGTCTATAAAGCAAAGGAAAATTTAAGATTGTAAGCCCAACCACTGCTTCACTTAGTCACTACTTTGCTTAACAACCGAGTTGTGGCTCCCAATCGAGGGCTGCCTGCATTAGCATATTGATTTTACCTTTCTTCAAACCACTACTTATATAAAACTAATTCCTGATTGGGGGTCCAAGGTTTTGCTTTCAAAATATTTGAGTTTAACTTTCTAAATATCTGAGCAATATTTAAGAATTTTTGTAGAGTCTCACATCAATACATATAACAGATGGAGTTTTTTAAAAGCTCTTTAACCCAGTGTAGAGCAGAATATATTAATAGCTACAAATTTAAAAATCTTGTTTTATATATTGAAAAATGTATTTACTTAACAAACTTATACAAGCAGATTTCTTATTAGGATAAGTAACTTCAGTTATTTTGGCTCTCTAAGAATTTTTTAGAATTTTGTTTTAGATAAGCTTTCTCACACACAATAACCCACAAAATATTAATTTTTGCATATTAGGGCATTTTAAATTCCAAACTACAAAGGACAATTTAACATCAACAGATGTTAGCTTTTTGGGTCAGTGGAACAGAGCCTTTTAAAACTAAAGCTCAATTTTCAGCAAATAAGCACAAAACTGGGATTGTGACTAACATTGTTATTCATGGACAGAAGACTGACTTTTTACAAATGTTCTAGGCAGAAGTTTCAGACATCTGGCAAAGTGAAATTTAAAAAAAAATTAAAATAATAATAATAATGAAGAATTAAAAAGGTCAGCCATGTACATGTCTTTTTAAAAAATGTGAATATTTTCTCACTTTTCTGAAATTTACAGAACAAGCAAATTCAATCTATCTTATACATAACTATCTCTCACACACAATCACCACAAGCATTTAGGAACCCAAACTAATCAATTTTTAAGATTTATATCACTCTTTAGGATTTAGTAGAGACAGGTCACTGACTGTAGAAATAATCTATAATCCAGACTCTTATGTAATTCAGACTTGGCTACTAAACTAAAATAGCTCTTGCAAAAAACAAAGAAACAAAGACAACGTATGTTAGACACCTTCTAAAGTCTAAAGAAGAGTAGCTACTAGAAAAACATACTCTGAGTTTACTTTATTAAGGCAATTTCTCCAGAGAGTTCCACTGATGTTCATCCATCCTTACATTCAGGAGGCAAATATAAACTTGCATGAATAATTTTCCAGATGATTAATTTAATAACAGAGCCCTTATTGTGTTAACATTTTTCTGTGTGATGTGCTTCACCGATTATGATAGTTTGTTTTATTATTGTCCCCAGTTTTCTGGTTTTGCTTGTGAGGATTCTTTTCACGATAGCACAACAGGCTATTAATTTCAATGTAAGGAAACAGGATTTGCAATTTTTTTGACAAGACAGAAAAGCAGGATCCAAAGGAGAGAACCTAAATCCACTGGCTTAATGTGGAGCCTGTTATAATGGCTAATCTTAATGATTACAAGAAACAACAATGAGCTTTCACCCAACTATAATCTGCAAATTCACTCCCAAACTGTACAAATGTTTCTGCTTTCCAGAAATTCAGAGCAGCTGTTAAATTTGGTTATGCTGGAAGCACCCTAGCTTCCTAATATTCTAACAGGAATTCAGTGGGATCTCTTTGCTCTTTTGGCAGACAGCCAACAAGCTCAGAAAAGAGGCAACATTGTAAGAAGAACTCTAAAGCCATAGAAAAAAGTGCTGTGTCAACTAACTAGTTCATAATACTTGGCTCTAGACAGAAATAAAAGAAACACATGCCAGATCTTTTCACTTGCTTTTCAATCTATAAAATCCTGTTTGCATGGATGTATGTAAACGCTTATATGCAGACTTTGGAGAAGGAAAACTCAGAAATTTGAATTAAAATATGAAACAAATGTTTTATCTATAAAACATGGCAATTTAACTGAAGCTCTCGGTCACAAGGACTATTCAGACATAAAGAATCCAAACACAAAGAAGTAGAAGTGGCTTTTGTTATTACTTCTGCACTTTTCCACACTACAAGGAGAAAGAAAGAACTGGAATCAGATATCCTACATTTATCTAAACACAGGATCTCATCAATCCTATAAAGAAATTACTGAAGTGACATCAGGTTTCCTGTGCTCTAAGTACTTGGTTTATTTTATCCCTAGAAATCCAGCAGCACTGCTTTTGTCTGATGGAAACACCAGATTACTGCAAATCAACAGTATTTTAGCTTCTTCTGGAGAACACTGTGTACCAAGAGACAAATCTTGGAGGCTGGTGGAGAGTGTGAAATGGAAGCTAGTACATATAGGTCTGAACATCAGATATTAGAACCGAAATTGACAAACTAGAACATGTTCAAAGGAGAGCGACCAAACTAATCAATGGTCAGGAAAGAAAAACTTACATGATATGGTTGGAGGCATCCCAAAGGTACTTTTTCAAGAGGCAACTGGACTTTGTGGTTTTTCTTTGAAGACGTTTCGCTTCTCTTGGAAGCTTCTTGGAAGAGAAGCGAAGCACCTTCAAGGAAAAACCAGAAAGTCAGTTGCCTCTTGAAAAAGCACTTTTCGGACAACCAAGACCTGGATGACTGAGAATCTACAAAGACATTTGGTTGGAGGTATGTTTAATCTGGAGAAGAGAAAACTGAAGAAGATGGGATAGCTGTTTCCAGGTATCTAAAGCAGTGTTTCTCAACAATGGCAACTTAAAGTTTTGTGGATTTCAACTCCCAGAATTCCCCATTCATATGGCTGACTGGGGAACCCTGAGAATTGAAGTCCACACATTTTAAAGCTGCCAAAGTTGAGAAACACTGATCTAAAGAGTTGATGCATATAAGAAAAGGTAGTCAGACTTGTTCAAGTATTGTAATGAATACTGAATTTAAATTAAGAGATAATACATTTTCATTGAACATCAGGAAAACTTTCCTAGTGGTAAAACATGTTCAACAATGGAAAGGATTACTTTAGGAGTAAGGGGCCATTTCCACTGGAGGTGTTGCTACTGAAGGTTAATGGTTATCTATCAGCTCTGCCGTGCTAACTAATTCCTGTCTTGAGCAGAAGGTTGGACAATATAATCCAGAGGAAGAGCCATGGTGGCACAATGCAGTACTGCAGGCTACTTCTGCTGGCTGCCAGCAGTTTTGACAGTTCAAATCCCACCAGGCTCAAGGTTGACTCAGCCTTCCATCCTTCTGAGGTCGGTAAAAGGAGGACCCAGATTGTTGGGGGCAATAGGCTGACTCTGTAAACTGCTTAGAGAGGGTTGCAAAGCACTGTAAAGCAGTATATAAATCTAAGTACTATTGCTATATAAATACAAGTGCTATTGTTTTTGCTAATTTATAAGACCTCTCTCAACTTTTGTGTGTGTGTGTGTGTGTGTGTAAATGGGGACAGTTGAAGTATATTTAAAACAATGACGGGGATCTAAAGATACCTTATACAAATGGTAAGAATCTTGTGACTGGCATCTCACTATGTGTGAAAT